TCTATGTGGAATCTGTTTTACAATTAATAACATAAATGAGACCAAGATCAATATATGTGGCAAAGATAAAATATGTAAGTAATAAAAGACAAAATTACAACTAAAACCAATATGATTCCATGCTAAACCAATACCAGTCTTCTTCCACTGGTTTTATTCAGGGTTATCAGATTAAAAAAGATGGAAAATGTACGTCACATATTTAAGATTTCTCTCTAAAATAACCAAAAACAAAAACAAATATCAACTCCTTTGTGTTTTTACTGCTTCCAATCAAAGACATAGAAGTTAGTGACTTTAATATGATACAATATGATAAAAAGCAGGAGAGATATGAATACTTTTCCAAGTCACTGTAGAGCCAACGATGATGACGAGCGAACCCAGCACGTTTTTCTACAAACACAAATCCAATTTCCTTTCGACACATTCTCTTTGTTTTCTCAGCTTTTGTTGTTGGCAAGCAGTGATGCAGCAGGAAGAGGAGACGGTTGCCATGGCAATCACAGCCATAGGACTAAATATCGTTGGAGGGAAAGACTGCTCCAGTCAGTTTAATTGTTGGCATCAATATGCCAATAATAAAAAAAGCACATGTGCAAAAAGAGCACAAATCACAAAGTGGATGCATAATGGATAAATGTGAACAGCAGAATATGACACAGTAGGAACAAATGACGCTGTGACAGCATGTTGTGGGTTCAGTCGTCGCCAGCATCAGTCTCTGCTGCCTGATGGGAGGCTACAAATGAAACCCTGTCAGCACAGCTGTATTCTTAGACCGCTATCCGTGTCAGAAGTGTCATCTGTCCGGCTTGTCCACGTCTCTCCTTTTTGAAGGCTTTACTCTTTCATCCCCGCTCGTTTAATCTCGCCCCTGTCCCTGGGTTTTTCCGTGCCGAGCGGGTTCACAGGGATGAGTGCGGTGTGGGAGTGAGGATGATTGATACAGGAGAACATGTGGCAGGATGGAGCAGTGAGGACAAGGAAGCGGGAGGACATGTAGGCGGCATGTGATGAATGGGTATGGGATGAAATAAGGCTTCTGAAAAAGTAAACACAATCTACCTTGAGGCTCAATTATTTACTCATGCAAACGTTTTTTTTGCAGTAGAAACTGTGACAGATGTTGAACTGGAATGTTTCTAGTTGGAACATTGCTTGCAGCAGCGTTGGTCTTATTTGTGCTTTGCTTCATGATGACTAAAAAGTAAAAAAAATAAAAAATCTGCCCAGGCAAAGCTTGTGCTTTGCTCTGCGTAGTCCATTAATATTCCAGTCATCTCCTGCTTCAGATAAAGGGGAGAGACAGACTTCTTTTGCTCTCTAAAAACACCAGCTGTGCAGAGCCATGAGACATCCACACATGCACATGAACCTGTAAACACACCACTGCAGACGCAATAAGATTTGCGCACACAGGCAAACTTATATAATTGAAGAGTTTGCAAGCAGCTCCATCAATATTGCATGGTGTTCATCCTGCATGATTTATCACACACACAGACTCATTTCTCAGAACTATTCGCCAGTTTCACATCGAAGCACCTGGACACCATCAGAGAGGGGAGAAAAGTGGGGGAGGACGTGAACTCCCGCATGAGCAGATATCACCTATTGTGCAGTCAGGTGGGTTCTGATATGCCGCTGGCACACCGAACAGTCCTCCCTTTCATGTCCCACTCCTCTTCCCCCACCCTGCCTGCCAAGTCTTCATCTCTGAGAGTCTCTCTGTCACTCATGAACCTCACTATCCCTCTGCCACCAGCCATTTCTGAAGATCACGTTGAACGAGCGGTTTTATCCACTCGCAAAAGAATTCATGTCCCTTCAAATTTTTAGTATTTTACATGATAGACCAATGGGAAGTAGTCCATGTGGGAGTGGTCAGGAAATAATAAACTCCCTTACCTCATTGCAAAGAATCAACAAGAATCTGACATAGTTCTATCCAAATGAGTTTTCAGAGCAAAATTACTCCTCTCAAATTGTTTGTTTTCTTGGTGTAAGCATAGTCCTCAAATTTGAATTACAAAACCAGTTTCTGATAAATGTTTGGTTTCATTGTTCTGCTGGAACACGTCTGGATATTGTGTTGAGATGAAAGGCAAGAATGTGGAAATGGTCTCCAGGTTTCATCATGGTGTGAGCCACAGCGCCAGCCAGAAACCACATACTTTACAATAAAGAGTTGTTTAAAACCAGCTCCTTTAGCCCTTCAACTAGATCTTATCCTAATGGCCAACAACTCAATCTTTGACTCATCTGGACATTAAACTGTTCTCCAGAAAGCATTTAGATAGATTCTGGATGCGCAAAGCTGGTAGAGAAATACCCAGAAATATATATATTTCTGGGTATATAGATATACCCAGAAAGCTTCTTGTCTAGCTTCTTGTCTAAATCTAGACAAGAAGCTATCCTGCCAATACTTGAACATTGATGCTCTTCAAGAACTTTCAGAGATTGGGCCATTTTATAGAGAAGACATGTAATATTTTAGTTTCTTGATGTTGAAAGCTGGAAGCGACATTTCCCAAAACAACTGCAGCGTTGATTATGGCAAAAGTGAACTTAAGTATTGTCTCAGCAGCATGGATACAAATACACAACTCTCTTTCTTCTCCTTTAAGTTCACCTTTATGTTTGTCTGTCTCATAAAATCCTAAATATATCCCTCAAAGTTTTTGGACTTAGCATGACTAAATGTGGAAAAAGTTCAAGTGGTGTGAAGACTTTTGCAGGGCACAGTCCCCCGTTGGTTTTGCTGGCTCCCTGTCCACGAAAGCGATTAGTCACTCAGTCATTGTGTGGACCAAGAGTCTGGAAGCTTCTGATAGAGGAGCACTCGCAGCCCAAGTGACAAGCTCAAGGACGTTTCTATGTTGCGGCTGCAGTTTGTTGAGAACGTCCGCCTCCTTTGGGCCGAACCGAGGCAGCGAGCCGTTGTAATTACACGCCACTTGTCGCGCCGCTTTTTCTCTTTGCCCCGACCATCTCCAGCAAAAAGTTAACAGCTTGTGTGTTATCTTAGTAATGATTCACTCCTCAGTTCACATGGACGCAGCACTCCTCTTTCTCCCTGCACACAAACACTCAGCCTCGCCGTTGTTCTGGTCCACCCACTACACACGCCTAAATTTAAATATGTGGATTCAGCTTTGTGCTTGCAGCTCGGTGCAATGTTGAAACATCTTCTCTACTGTCCCATTTGGTTATATTTAGGATCAGCTAGTAAAAAAAAAAGCCTCTCCACCATTAGAGTGTATATTAGTAAGGTTGCTGAGCAATACAGATGGCTACCTTGTTTCCCAGGAAATCTAATTAAATAATCCTATGAACCATAGTAACATGTGGTGAACACACCATGGCAGTGCCGTGAGGTTGTTATTCAATCATCAGAAGTAAAACAAACAATTACTGAAGAATGACCCTAATGCAGGAACAAATGAGAATTTATGCATGGGGAAGCGTGGGCCAGGGATGGAAGTGATTCATTGCTGATACTCGTCGGCAAGAGGCTGCCCGAGATCCCTGTTCACAAGAATAATGATGATACTGATGAGCCAAGCATTGTGGGGAATTTATTATTTTGCTGTCTAAGTGTCTTTCATGTTCAGGACAAAGCATTTTCCAGGGGTTTTGCATTTCAAAGAGACGCGGGGGCATTGTTCTGATGAGGACTGATGCGAGAATGTTACCGATGCTAATTAACCGGTGCTAATTGTGCGCCTGAATAAATTATCACAAGGGCTGGTTTTCAGAATTGTTTAATATTAATTTTTTTGTTTGTTTGTTTATTTGTTTTAGATGTTATCTGAGTCTTCTTAGTTGCTGACGGATTGAAGCTGCTCCAGTTACGTCTGTGGAAAGCTCAGAAGTCACACATCCCCTCCTCGTACGTCGCTCTCTCAATATAGATCACCCTACAGACGGATGTGCATTCTTCTCATGTGCCGCAGTAGCAAAGAGGAGTGCATGTAAATGGGATTCATTTGTATTTCATGTTGGACACGCATGGAGCTGGTTTTTAAACGACTTGATGTATCACAACACGGACACATAGGGAACATTAAACGACAACCGAATTACACCATCAACCATAACATTACGACCATTTACAGTTGAAGAACTCTCATCCATCGTATTTTCAGTGGCTAGCTCACATTTAGGTTTTGAAGTTGATATGTTGGAACAAGAAAAACAGGGACACTTTTGTAGAAATGTGGTTAACAGAGTCATGGGCTCACTGGTTAACTAGAAGGAACTGGTCCATGTGGTCTGATCCAACAGATGAGCTACTGTAGCTGAAATTACTGGCTCAAAAGCATGTGTGCCAAACTGAAGGCCCAGGGGCCAAAATCCAGCCCACCATGGCTTTTTAAGTGACTGCTCAGTCCACCTTCAGGTGGCAGTATTTCTAACTTGTACTTCACTGCTGCCTCAAGAGGCGATTAATAGCCATGATTAATAGGACTAGTAGCAGAAAAGGTCACATTTAACGTCATACAAAGGCACAAATATTTGAAAATTCCTTTCAAACATTTTAACTTAGTGTCATAAAATCTATGATTTTGACTGGAAAAAAACAAAACAAAACAATTGCAAAAACCTAGAGGGACTGATCGACGCGAAAAGACGTTCAATAGCATTTAATTTGTTAACATTTTAATAGCTTGTTAATGCATTCTGGACATTCATGATCTTGACACGGTCAAGATCATGAACATTCATGATCTTGACACGGTCCAAAACGAAGAAGCTGTTTCTTTGAGAGTCACATGTTAATTGTTGCATTTCCATTATTATTGTTTCTACTAATCAAATTCACTTTTTGAGAGCCTTTGGATAGATTAACGACACGGATGAGCCAATATTTGCTGGTTGATGCTGCATGATCATCATGTCTTTACGCCCAGCACATATTTTCCCTTTTTGGCCGATATCATCACCAGTGAGTTAGCAGCCAGATGGCCTGTGTACATGTATAGCTGACTCACAGTAACTGGTGGCTGAGTCTTTGCTCCTCGCTGCAGGCTGTTAATCATTCTATTCTGAGCTGCAGTCAGGCGCTTCTTCTTCTTCTTCTTCTTTTTCTCCTTCTTTTCCACTAATGCATTGTGTTTAAGAGCATCGCAGCAAAACGACTAAATCTTGTTGCAGGAACGCCGCGTGGAGAAAGAGATTGCCTCCTCGCCGCCCAGCTCTAGCTGGATATGATAGAGCTGTCCTTGTGATCGGGAGGCTTTCCTCCCCCTCCAACAGCACTCCCTGTCCTCTCACCCCCTATCTTGAGACTGGTGGTGGCTCGTAACCATGGCGACAGCTGGTCTTGTTACCTGCGTAGAGGGAGGAGGAGGGAAGCTCGTGACTTTGAAGCTTGGGTTACCAGCCGCGGCGGATGGAGGGAGGTCGAGGCTGGCGGAGGCGGGTGGGTGCTTCACACAAAGACCACACTGTTCTCCCTGCACATCCATTCACTGCTGGAGTGACCAGAGAAGGAAACAAGATCAATAGCATGAAGTAATTGATTAGAGTAATTCAATATTACCAGTAAAGTTTCCAGAGATGCTTTTAGAACGAACGTATCAGGCGTTCCCTGTTTCTATCCCTCGTGGAAGCAGACAGATTTGTTTGCCAAGCTCCTCGCGCCACGAATAAACTCCTAAACACTAGTCTGACTGCATCACTCCATGAAGTGACATATATTTACCTCAGTCTCATTCTGCAATCACAGAGTTTACACTAAAAGTGAACAGCGGAGTTTAATGGAGCCTCCCCAGAGATGTGGGGCAGGTTACATTAATTGCATGGACAAAAATGATTGCATGTCGCAGTCCTCCGACAAACTAACTTTGAACTTCGCTGAACTCCAAGTTTGTCTCATTAGCTGCTGTAATTTGTCACTTCACCTTCAGTGGATCTGCATACGCACCTCGCCCTTTACCGGTCTCACTTCAGGACTCCCCTTCGGTCTTTATTTACACAATGACTTATTATTGAGAGGCTGCTTTGCACAGAGAAGTAATTAATTTTTGACTAATGATGTGCCAGTTACTTGACAACAGCAATTACATCTTAATGAGTGAAAAGCTTAGTGTCAAATGATTGAGATGCAGCAGGATTGGTGCTAAATCGCTTTTAAGCCCGCACAAAAGCCAAAATTACAACTGTGGGTTAAATACACATTTTCATTTAGAAAATTAACTTGGAGATTATGGTTCATGTGATGAGCTATGAATATTTTAGATTACCAAGAAGTAGTATGTGACCATGAAATTTATGTTATTTAAACACATTTCTATTTTTCTAACTGACTCAGTCGGTTAGCATGTATTGATGATTAAGGGATAAAACACTGACAAAGTGGACGGATATATTTTTAGACAATCTATTTTGGGTCTTATCTGATGGGAAAAAGCAATAATCACTTGTGGGATTCCTCAAAGCTTCATTCTCGGGTCACTATAAATTTAGTTTCTACGTTTTCCAGCTCTGGAATAAAACCTGTAAAACAAGGATAAGCAGAAACATTTGGGTAAACGTTACTGTTTACAGCAACCTTCAAAGAAAGGCCTATTTTTTCCCAGTATTTTATCACCTTATCTAATTGCAAGCTTTTTAAATGTGTGCTGTCTTTGATGCGTCACTTCTTCTTTTTAATGTCAGCTGCTTCTTCTCAGTTCCTTTATTTTCCTGTAAAGCTCTTTGAATCGCCTCGTGTAACGGATGGCGCTCCACAAATAAACTTGCTCCGCTTTGTGTTTTCTGTCGGTAAAAACGGCGACTGAAACCGCATTCATCCTGGGAGCAGCCGAGCAAATGGTCTCCGCGCTCTCCCTCCTAGAAACGGGGCAGACGCATTCCAGAGATGCATGAATGGGATTTGTTGTTATGATGGAGAGCGGCGAGCGGGCCAGATATGGAAAGGCTGTTGCCATGGAGACCACTCCAAGAGGCCGAAAGCAGCTGTAGACAGTCAGCTGATGCCCATTGGGTGAACGCTTTCAAACACCATTTGCTTACTTCTTTATTTATTTCTTTCACTTTCAGCACAGAAAAAGGGAAAGAGAGCGACAGAGAGAGAGAGAGAGAGAGAGAGAGAGAGCTTCCCAGGATGCAGAAAATGCCTCCGCCATTTTGTATCCAGTCACAGCATGAGTGTGTGAAGCTGTGGTATCACGTTTAACCTGGCTTCATGTGTATTTCAGACACTAAAAAGAACAATGAGCCACTCTGAAGGTAATAAAGCAACTATTTAGTTCAAGGATGCATTCATTTTCAAATTAAATGATCAAATTGTTGCTTTTTACACCTCACTGGATTTCAGTTTTACAACACAAAACACCTTTCAATTCTATGGCACATAATGTTGACTTAAAGATGTGATTATTCACATCTGTATGTTATTAATTGATCATAATGTGACCATCTCTATACTATAGGAGTTTTCTGGTCATCGCTAACACAATGCCAGGAAGGAAAGACAGCAGCAATGACCTTAGTTAAGAAAGTGTTGCAGCCCATCAGCATTTGAAGGGTTATGAGACTGACTTGCAAATAATTTAAAGTATTTCAATCTTTTGCAAGAAACATATCCTTCACAAGTGGAAAACTGAATGCGTCAATAATCCCAAATGCAGCAGTAAATCAGCAATGTCAAAGTACCGACATCATCATGACACAAATATGTCAGTGGGCCTTACAAGAACTGGATTGATGTTATTAATGTTTTAAAATCTCTTCTTTATAATATGAAAAACTGTTGTTGCAGCAAACGTTGGGTTCTGTAGTGATCTACCGGCTTTGTCAAATACACCTGTGATATTTCCTGAATATGTGACAGTGCAGAATTCTGGGTAAATACAATCAAAAGAAGTGCGTTTGATGGAGAAATGGCCTGTGCCTTTTATTAATAAAAGAGAAATCCTTCTAAATCTGGCTAAAATCTGATGCCACTCCAACTTTGTTCATTTTTTGTGAAGAAGGAAGTTGCGCCCAATGACTTCTTCAGAAGTTGTTGGTTCCTTCAGTGTTTCTTGGTGGCGTCCCACCACTGGCGATGGGGGGAACAGATTTTTAATTGGTTTAGTTCATTTGAAAGCAAAAGCAGGTGAAAATGTAACAAATGTTGCATTTTTGGACTCCAATCTGATCGAGTAAACCGGCCTATCAAGTGTAAAAACATCCTTATATGCATATAATTATAAAAAGAGGTTGTACCTGAGTTTTCCCATCTTTCTTTCTGTTGTTGAACACATGTGACTGGATGTCTGTGTTGACTTTGCCTATTTTCCTCCCTTGGAAAAACACCTCCTTTTCCTTCCTTCGTAATGTAACACTCCACACTAATGTATTCAGCATGCCACCGTGTGAGTCACATGTTGCTTGTATTAAGCGTCTCTGTAGAAACAGGCCTGGGTCTGTGCAAGCAGGGGTGAATTGGACCTTTTTGGAGCAGATAATGTGGCCCGTCACGTCAAAGAGGACAATGAGATCTTTTTCTGGTCCGGAAGAGAGAGCGCAACCCTATCTGTGGCTTAAATAGAGCGAGATAAAGAGTCAAGTATCAATACTGCTGCGGTCCCGCAAGAGAGACAACGATGGGCGTGGGTCGACACTGAGTTTACAGTTGCCATTTTGTGCAAGTCATGAATGATTTTCTTGCACCATGTGGCATGAGCTTCTGTTATTATCAGGATAAAGCATAAAGCATGCTGTAAGAAGCAGTGGACGTGTCATGTTCGCTGAAGTCCAGAAAAAAAAAAAGAAAGTTTTTATCTCTTAGAACATTTACATTTGCAACTGACTGCATAAAATCGGAACAAAAGCCTGGTAACTTTAGAGGACATATGATGTTTCAACATCAGCAGTGAAAGGTTGAGGTGTGTGTGTGTGTGTGTGTCTGTGTGTGTGTACGACGGTATTTGTTTGTGCTGCAACTAATCTGGTTCGTCTTACCTTGCTGCAGCAGTAATCGTGGGAAAGAATGCGTCTCCTCCACTGTACTTGTTTTCTTTGTGTTGGAGGTGTGGCCGGGTCACCGTGTGAAGTGCTGCCACCGTGTCTCATGACGGATCATGCCTTCCAGGCGTCACCTTTCCAGATTGCGCAGTTTGTGTTGTAATAAGCCAAGACTCTAAACAAACTGGTACTAAGAGTGACTTCATTTGCCTCAGGAGGTTCACAGCATGCACACAGGTTTGACTTTACATTAGTCATTATGTGCTTAAAGCATGTGAGAAAGCAAATGATGATGAATGAGATTCAAACAAAGGAAGACCTGTTGTTTTCTAAGTGTCAAATATGGAAGATCCCCAACTATTTGTGAACTTTTCTGTGGAACATAACTTCAAATTATTTGCATATTTTACCATAGAGTAGGCCTAGATCTAAAATATTTTAAAGAAAATGCAGCTGGTGTGGTTCTCTTTCACGCTGCAGGGTTTGGTTCATTCACCAAACAAAACAAAGCCTTTGAAAGATTATTTCCTCCCTCACCTGTGGTGGTGCTGCACCAAGAACCACTGAAGGAAATGACATGAAAACCTCTGAAGGAGTGCAAACAAAAAAAGAGTAGTGTCAGATTTTAACAAGTTATTTTTCTCCCTTTTTTGTCACTGGTAAAACGCCGCGAGCCATTTCTCCTTCTCATGTTTGTTTTGGTTGTATTTACCCAGAATGCCTTGTGCTATAGTCTGCTTCCTGCTTTTGGAGCGGTCTCCGATCTGCTTGGCATTCATATATCCAATCAAACTGAGACCTAGAGTTTGATTGTGCATTCTCACCTCTCCAAATGGACCAGACTTTCTAGGCTAACAGACTAGACATATTTTCAAGCAGACTAACGGCTGGTGTGAAAGGACCCTAAATTACTTACAGTTGGACTATTTGCTAATTAGTGGAATAATAGGGTGTACTGAGTCTTATTTAGAGGCTGCGCCTTCAGATGTGTGTTGTGTTGGTCTGTCAAGTTAGATTAAAATAAAATACATTGACGTTTGGAGTTGTAAAGTGACTAAATTGCGAAATATGGTGTGAATACTTTTGCGAGGCGCTGCATAATCAAAGCCCTTCTGAGGCTGAAGATCAAATCTGTTTTGCAGCCTTCCCCTCAGTTCTTATTGATGGAAAAATGCCCCAGAAGGGTAAAACCAGGCCACTTGGCTTAGATTCGGAGCAGCTCCGCCACATTTGGGCCCATTTAAAGCAATGTTTCCCCACCATCAGCAGCTGCTTTCCATCTACTTGCATTTTCCTTGTCCTCTGCCCCTCTCCCTCCTCCCTACCCGCCATCACCACACCCCTCAGCGCCTTCCACCACCACCACCACCGTCCTCTCTTTCTGCACGTCAAACTTGGCAGGCGAGTTTACACTCGGATTTTCAAAGCCGCCCTGTTCTCTGTCAAATGTTGCGTGGCAACATCAAACGCTCTGCCGGACAGAGCCTTCCTGGGATTCCAGCGTGGTGGGCGGATAATTGGAGGCAGGCCTCAGCAGATCTGGCAGATGTGTGATGAGTTTTTACTGGAGCGTTGTTTTTTCTTCTTTTTTTAGAGGGGGGAGTAGTGAGTTTGTGAGAGGAGGGTGAGAAAGGGGATTTAGAGGGAAAACATAAGGGCTTTCTTTGTTGTCATCCCTGCTCCCTCTCTAAAAGCTGACCACAGGGGCGTCATTTTGGCCAAGAGAGGGCTGATTGTGGCCGTAAACATTGCATACAGACACAATATCTGAACCCAGCATGTGGAATTTGATGCCTTAGGTCTGACTCAGAATCCTTTTAATGCCCCGATTTTTTTTTTCCATACGTCCCGTCTTTGTTTCACTTTTTTCTCCGAAAGCCATGTTTTTCTGTTTCTCTCCTGCAAGAAACACCCAGATAATTACTGGGCAGTCGTCGTTTGTGGTTCTGACTGCGGTTTTGGATGAAGGTCACTGCAGTTGTTAAACTTATCGTTATTGCAGGGATGTGATGGAATGCCTTTCCCTCCCACCCTGGCTTCCCACTGTAAAAGCAGAAATTCAGGACTTGGATTGTGAGTTTTCATGTCCATCCATCATGCATAACAGAGAGGCCATCCAGGCCCCCCCGCCCCTCGTACCCCCACCCAAGGGTGGGCTCCCATTGAAAGTGCAAGAGGCCAGGGTTCCGTGGAGAGGAAAGACAGGAACAGACGGGGGCCGAAGGGGGGTTGTGGAGCTTGGGAAATTGTTGTAGAGGGATGGAAATGGACAAAGAGTGGGGGGGAGAGAAAGACATGCAGACAAGTTCCAAGAAAAAAAGAATGAAACACAGTCCTCCCATGTTTTAGCAGGGTCCCCGGGGTTCATGCAGACAGTATTAGATTTATTTTTTTTATTTTTTATACAGGAACGCGGTGCAGATGTTCCCAAGAGCGGGCCTGCGGTTTCCCTGTTTTCCTTTTTCTGGTTTGTTCCCGGCTCTCCGGCGTTGCCAAGGCGCTCCCTTACTCGGTGCTGGAGTTTTTGTTTTTCCCTGAGAGTGGGGCTCCAACAGGAGGGTCATCTCCAGGCCAGCTCCAAATGAGAAATAGTTGGCCAGCTGCCCTGGCGGCCGTACAAATCCGCCCTTTTGAAAAGATTACTGTGCTGCTGCTGTTGCCGCCGCCTCCTGTGGGGCATGCCAGATCTGCTGAGGGGAGAGGAATGTGCAGGAGGGCTGGATGAGGGAAAATGAGAGCAGACTGAGGAGACGAAGGGGTGGGGGGCAAATTTCATTCGACCTCTTTCAGAAAATTTTGCCATCTCCCTCTCCTCCTCAAACGTTTCAATTTCTGCAACACAGCACAGGCTGTGGATTCTTCTCAGATCAAACCTTGCAGCGTTTTCCACTAAGCCATGAGCTGTGCAATAAACTCACCATCCCCTGCTTGTCTTGTGACTCCCTGGATTTGTTTCTTTTTCACAAATACCCTTCAACTCGCACATCATCCCAATAATGAAACATCCCAGCGGCTGCACCATAATGTGGGGGTCTTTTACTTCAGCAAAGACAGAAAATCTGCGAAAGGAGGAAGGTGCAGAATGAAAGCGGAAGAACAGACCGATCTCTAGCAGAAAGTATTTCTTTCTTCCTCTTGCCCCTTACACTGCTCCCAACTAAAAACTGGCTTTCACTCAGCCATCAGTTGTATGACATACCATCCTGGATACTCTGATTTTCTTTTTTCTTGCATACAAATATTGTTCTGCACTGCAAAAATACAAAATCTTACCAAGTATTTCTGGTCTAGTTCAGGCTGCAAATATCTTACTACACTGGAATTAACACAAAACTAGCTATTTGCTTTTGCAGTCTACTCACACATATTTATGAATGTTAGGGAATTATTTACTTAAAACGATATATTATATCAGTATGAATTATTAAGATAGGACAAATGTATTGTTCCATTTGTATTTTACTTATAAGCAGTAGTTTTTAAATTAATGTTACGGCATTGCTGACCTAAAACAAGCTTGTATATTGAGACAAAAACTTACTCAAGTAAGTTTTGTCTTATCTCAAGTACAGTAAGATATTTTCATTAGAGATTAGAAAAAAATACTTGGTAAGATAGAGTGTTTTTGCAGTGAGTCACACTCCACACTCATACTGAAGCATGGTGGTGGCAGCATATTGGTGTCGGATGCTTGTTTTGAGAAAAGACAAAAAATATGTTCAGCCAGGAATGTGAAGGGGATTCAGGAAGGGAAAATAGAGCAGAAAAGGTTGTTATTCAGCCTCTTTCAGAAAGTTTCACCTCGTTTCTTTGTTCCTCAAACATTACAGCAGAGTGCAGTTGTGGTCTGTTCTCAGAGAAAACCTGGACTTTTCAATCTCTGCCGTGAGCTGTGACACCGCCTCCCTCCCCTGCTCTCTGTTTTTGTTTCTTAGGGACTGGTGATGAATGATCGATTGATAGCGTGAGGGCTCACTATGGGGCTGCTGCAGGCTATCTCTGCTAAGCTGCTTTGGCCGATAGGCTGCTGACTGTGGAGACTTCAAAGCCAGAGCAATAAAAGTTGATTTGTGGGAGCATTGTGAGAAGCCCCAGACACTTAAGAAAGGTGTGCTTGTCTCCTCTACCCTGTCACAATCAATACCACCCCACCAACTCTGGGCCTCCCCGTCCTCTCTGTGTTTACTCTTAAATAATGCATCACATTCACAGATTCTCCACCACTCACACACAGGATGGAGGCCATTAGCAGAGGCTACAAGGAACAATAGATTGCAGCTGTTGCATCTTGGTTTCTATCTCTTGAAAGCTTTTGCAGAGGCATCGTTTCAGAGCTGCCTGACCTCAACATCCAATCCTTTCAGGTTTGGATTACGCAGCCGCCTAGTTGGAGCTCAGATTAAGCCTCTGTAAAGAACGCTATAACAATTAGAGGAACAATGGCGATGAAAGCTACGCCTGACCTAGGGTGTCTGAGCCGGGAAAATTTGCTTCCTTGTAGCAACAAAGCCGTGCTACCTACATACAATTCAGTGCAATCAGTAAATAGAGTCCACTTGTGCGTAGTTTAATCCGCGTGTAAATAATACAGCTGTTCTCTGAAGATCTCAGGTTTGCTAAAGGATGTTACGCTTACACAGCAATTTTTAATGCTCAAATAAGTTTTTTTTTTGCTGAAATTTTATTTAGTTTTTGCACGGTCGTTCATCCTATCAAGTAAATGCAATTATACTTCTGTGTTAACAGTTTACATCCCCAAAGAAGAACATAGACGTCGCACATCAGCGCACTGTTAACAGATGAAGTAATAAATGCAGTTTCTCTATGGATCAAACAAAGGTGATGCTAAAAGACACAAATATTTATTTTATGCACAACCCAAAGGCTTTCAGTTCTGAAAGGCTCAATAAACCACTGACTGAATTTTTACAGGTATCATAGTAGAGGGCAGCTAATAAAAAAGCCCACCACACTCTTCAGATCCGCCTTTGAAAGAAATTCAGAAAATAATGCCAGCATTTGCCTTCCACTTCACAGTCAAGCAATAAATTGTTATGGTCTGTCACATAAAATCCA